AAAATAAAATAAATAAATAAATAAACAGACAAACAAACCAGGCAAAGCTGGGAAAGAAAGGCACATTTGACTTGTCTTTTGCTGTGTGGACTTACTTCCCTTAATGAGGCATTTATTTAATATTGTCTCCAAAACTGAAGTGGGGCCTTTCTCCTACCTCTTTGTAAAGGTTCCTTGGTTTGGGGGTCATCGATCCATGTCAGGGACTTCATGTGGATGAGTGCGGGTGCTGCCCCCACTTGTGGGGACAGGTGTGCTCATCACTCCTCTCCCTGATACGATCAGGGCTCAGCTCTGCACGGAGTGACTCAGGGCCTTGCTCATCTGTTGGTGGAGAATTCTTAGCTCTCGGCCAACTTTCAATTTCTGTCTCATTTAAAAACCTTCTTGTCTTAGCCCCCAGGTAGTTATGCTTAAGGTAATGGTACCAATTTTAATTTTAGCCTAAGAGCTCAACCACGGTATTTCTGAATGTGTGCATATATTATTACCCTAAGACTGCTGGATTATCTGTTTTATTAAAAGTACTTCCAATTCATTTTAGTGTATAATTAAAAAAAACACTTATCAGGCCGGGGGTTTAGTTCAGTGGCACAGTGCCTGCCTCGCAAGGGAAAGGTCCTGAGTTCGGTCCCTGGTACCAAAAAACAAACAAACAAGCAAAAACATTTATCTATGCCTACCAATTGCATACTTTGCTGCTAGAAGTAAAAAAGTAAAGTGAGGCAAGAGGTCATTCTTGGCCTCATTGACTACAGTCTGTCATGGGATCCAGATAGGAAAGGAGCACTTACAAGTGTAGTCAGAATTAGGAAAGGCTTAGAGTAAGGGTGTCACCAGGGCACAGCGACCCTCGTTTTTAATTTTCTACCTACCATTCATCTTTCTGCTGTGAATTTAAACCACTTTTTTTCACAGCTGATACATATGTTCAAATGCCTTTCATTAAAGCACATCCAAAATGTTTCCACCACCATCACAAAGACCACACTATTTCTCTTCTTCTCTTCAAGCCCCAACTTCTCCAAAAAGTGGTGTACGCTCAGGGAGGACACCTCCTTACTTTGCACTCTTTCTTTACCCACAACAGTCTGGCTTCTTTCTCGATACTCCATGAAAACATACTGGCGTCTTTGACACCAGTTTCTCTTTCCACTACTTTGGATGTTCTTGGTTCCCCTTGTAAGTTCAGCTTTGCTACCCTACCATTAACCAGGAATTTCCTTAAAGAATCATTTCTCACCCTTCTTCTCATATCACGCATGTTCAGCACACAAGGTCATTCACGGCCCCTGCAAAACATCCAGTAATATGGGAATATTCCCCAACTTTATATCCTAACTGAGATTTCTCCTCTACTCCAGAAAAGGTTATTAAATACTCCTTAAAACATCTCATTTTGAACATCTTTTTTGCCTTTTAAGTTTTATTTTTGTCAGTACATAATGAGTACATTTATCATGAGGAATTGGCATATTTATATAACACATCAGAATTCTTTTTCCATCCCCCCCATCCCTGCTCCTTCAAACCATCTTTGTCTTCCCATTTGTAAAACTTGATCTCCAGTTTTTCTTTTTTCAATCCTTTTTTCATCCTTTTCCCCTCCCCTTGCTTCTTCCTGCCTGCATCTCTTGTTTGCCCTCCCATTTGAAAAATCGCTTTTTATTTATATTTTGAGTAATCAAAATGTGATATTTAAGCTTGTATGTCTGATTTATTTTATTTAATATTACGGTTTCAAAGGGTATCCATTCACCCATGGATGACTCAAGTATATCCTTTTTTATGGCACAGCTATACTCCATTGTGTATAAATGCCACATTTCCTTTATCCATTCATCTACTGATGGGCACATAGGTCATTTCCAAGATTTGGCTATTATGAACTGTGCTGTTGTAAACATGGGTATGCATGCATCCCCAGAATATGACGTCTATAACATCTTAAAGATAACTAGACTCAATAGATCAAATGCCAAAGTCACGCTCTTTCTCCCCAAACCTTGGGTACTCTTTATCTCTGCAAATGGTACTACTGTCCATTCAGTTTTGCAGTTCCTTCTATTTTATCACACATAGTCAATCTGTTATCCTGCCTGATCAAGTTATATAATCCTTACATCCAATATACTTATTTTTTTCTCCTGGCTCCTTCAGCAGCATTTTGATTTGTGTTACAATCATGTCTAGAGGACTGCAATAGTTTATAATTTTCCCCCAGATCTATCTTTCCCCCTTATAGTTCATCCTCACAGCTGCCACTACGATCTCTCCAAATCGGCAATCTGAACGCATTATATCCCAGCTTTCAACATCTCAATGCCCCCTACTGCTTTCTTGTTAAAGACAGCAAAGTCTAGAGTCCACTTGGTCCAGTGGCTTCTACCTGTCCCCATGGCCCTGTCTCATACATTCCATTTTTGACGCACTGTGTTTCATTTGGTTCCTTGGTTTTGCCATGTCCCCTCTTGCTACATGGATATGCTTATGCCGTTAGTATTCCACTCCTTAGACTAGTTAAGTTATATGTACCTTTTCTAGCTCAGCTCAATTCTTACAACTGACCTGTCACTGGGTATTCTAGAATGTTTTCTCTGATCCACTGGATTAGGTCAAATTTAGTGAACTCTTGCAGGATCATAAATCTCTTTTGAAAAAAAGCTTTTATTAGTACTTAAATTTGAATGAGCTCTTTCTCCTCTACAGTACAAGTTCTGTGAAGTGAGAGGTGGTGTCTCTTTTACTTTTCCTTGTAGTCCCAGGACTTAGCACAAGGCTTATCATACAGCCGTAGAATGAACGAATGAGTAAAGTAGCATCTGAGTTGTGAAAGGTAGATGAGTAAAAATTAATTGAGTAAAGATGGGATGAAATAACTTTTTAACCAAAAAGAATAGCATGAGTAAAAACCTGAGAACAAGGGAAAACTTGTAGATGTTCAAAGAAGGAAACTTCTTTGTTGACATGAAGGGAAAGAGGGCAGGAGGAGCAGGCAGATGCCAAGCTGTGGGTGGCTTTTCAAGCTGAGGTAAGAATGTTACCACATAAATCATGAGCTGGGCTGGTCACAGGAGCCCTTGAGGAGCTGTGCTGAGGATAACATTTCTTCCCTTCCTTTTCTGGTGCTATTACCCTTATTTATCCAGGGTTGACAGAAGTACCTATCTTACCACTGAGAAACTTTTGCTTTTTAAGATTATTCTTTTCAAGATGAAAGATTTCTTTACTGTTTACATTTAGATAAGGTGGTAGGCTGTTTGAGAACTAGTATGGACAACAGAAAGTCTTTCAAACACATTAAATACATTTGAAATAGATCGGATTGACCTGGAAACCAATTGTATCAAAAATGGAGGTGGTCAAGAAAAGGATCATTGGAGCAGAAATTGGTGGATAGCTTTAGGAGATACGTAGACCAGTGTCTTGCAGCAGTGGTGTGCTGCAGGAGTCATGAGAGCTAGCTGTTAAGTCTTGGGAAGTTTGTGAGCTGGTTGGTACTTGGATTCAACCATGGAGGCAATACAGTATTTACACCATGACCAAGGGCAAATGCTATGCATCATGTGTTTCTACCTCTGATCCCCAAAAGTACTGGTTAAACATTTGCCAATAACCACTGATTTACTAGCATATTTATTTATTTATTTATTTATTTTTGGTACCAGGGATCGCACTCGGGTCCTTGCACTTGCGCAGCAGGCAGTGGAGCCACTGAGCTAATCCCTGGCCCTACTAGCATTTTTAAAAGGAAGGAAGCAGAGCAGAAAACATCAGAGGGCCCTGGATATAACCTTAAAATTGTTTTGTAAAACTTCTGTTGCAGTTATGTGAAAATGTGAGTACATACACGCCCATGCATGCTGGCTGGGTCATGACACAAAAGGTGTTTCTTTAATTCATAGTAAAAAAAAAATGGATAAGCACTGCTTTGGGAAGTAGAATTTAGAGAACTTGGTGATTGATCGGATTTGATTAGCAAGGAAACTGTGATGAGTAAGGACTAATCATAGATTGCTGGCTTGATTAGCAGGGTGGGGCGAATGCTACCGTTTCCTGAGACAGGGAATGCCACCCGGGAGCCAGCTGGAAGGCATGTGAATTCCGTCTGGACACGCTGAGCTGGAGGTATCTGTACAAAGTCCAAGTGGAGATGTCCTGAAGGCAGTTAGTTACATGAATCTGAACTACAGAGCAAGGACTAATGTGGCAACACAGACACCGAGTTCACTGGCCAAGTGATGATGGGAATGAAGAAAGTGGGCTATGGAATCCTTAAAAAGGTTAAGCATGACGGGGTAGGTCATTACAGGGAAGGTGAGTGAGGCTCAGCAGGAGGCCAAGAAATGTGGGCCAGTGACATGGGAGCAAGACGGAAAAATGTGTTGTTTTGAAGCCAGAGGACAAGCGGCTCAAAGGTAAAGTAGACTGTATCTATTAGCTCAGAAACCTTGAGAACTAAGAATTATTAGAAAACTGGCTTTCCACAGATAAAGTGGGTGCAAGGGACACTTCACGTTTTCAGTGGTATGTGCATGATTAAAGATGACTTTGGATGTTGACTGAGTATAAATGATAAACAGTATGTTTAAAAAAATGGACCTAATCAAATTCATTAGCTCTTTTTGCAACATGGCCAAATTTCTCACAACTCAGGCAGTCACAGGAGCCCCTGAGGAGCTATAGTGAGGTGGACAGGTCTTTCCTTTCTTTTCTGGCTCTGATACCCTTATTCAGCCTGTATAGACACAAGCATCTATTTTCTCATTGAGAACCATTCAGTTTTTAAGATTATTTTAAAGAAGATGAATATTCCCCATTATTCACATTTAGATAAGGAGATACATTGTTTGAGAGCTAGGTTATTAGCTCATAGCACACACAGGATACAGGTGCATGTGCATTAATAGCTAATAGCCAAATGCACTGAATGCTTAGTGACAGGCACTGTGTTAAATACTTTTATGAGCAATTCTTTGGGCAAGACATTATATTAGTACCTTTTTACAGATGAGGATCCTGAGGCTGGATGGGTTGAGTACTGGAGAAGGTGGGCTGCACACGCACCTCAGCAGTTTAGTTCTTGTCCTGTAAACCAGGCTCCTCTCCTGCTCCAAAGGCCAGACTACGATGGATGAGAATAGGGCCCTGGATAGGTTTTAATATGCTCAGAACCAAAAAATATGATTTAAGTAGGACATCTCTCTATAAAGTTTTTCTTTTTCCCACTGACTATAAAAGTAATTCATATTCATTAGAGACAATTGTGAGGCGCAGAAATGTTGCACGATGCAAGATAAATCACTCCTGCTGAAGTTTTAACACAGGATTGAATGTCTTATAAAACTCAGGGATCAGATTTTATGACTTCCCCTTAGGAGAGGGGAAATCACTACAGGATAAAGTAATAAACACCTCCCTCAGAGAAAACAATGACTTTCCTCTTAAGAAAGAGTCACAGCATATGTGCATTGAACCTACCAGAATTTACTGTAGTGCTCGGCAGTTAGGGTGTGTGCCGGGGGAGACAGGATGTGCATCGGCTTCTTATTAGTGGGTCTCTGCGCACTTCCCTCAGGGCCTCCCACCCCATACTTCTGAAGCGCTTCTCAAGGGTGCACTGGACCGCAAAGACTTTTGGCTCAAATGTTGCATTTAGACCTGGTAGCCTCTTTAGATCAGGCTGTCTAATTTTAGAGCCATTGTAAAGATCCCGAGGACTATACTAGCAGTATTGAATTCATGGAGACTTGCTTTTGTCATAATTTTGGGAATCTGAAATCCTGCTGGAGTTTTCTGGGGTTCACAGATTCATTCATTTATTCAACAAACTTTTCTCCCCTCCTTCCCTCCCTCCCTTCCTTCTGGGGATTGAACCCAGGGCCTCATGAATGCTAAACATGTGCTCTACTGCTGAACTACACCCCAGCCGTAACAAGCCTTTTTGAGTTTCCTGTTTGTGTCCCATGGGGTGAGAGGAATAGGGATGCATGGGTGTAGCTATGAGCTCATGGTTTGGGGGATTTGCCAAGACTGCTACCAAAGAGGCTCCTTTTCAAAGGAGCTCAACCACCCCTATAAGAAATAGTTACAGATGGGGCAAGCTTTTAGGACCCAGGCACTAGGACAGGGCATTTGACTCAATAGGAACACAGCTCAAAAATTCTCCTAGGTTCAATCCAGAGTACCACCTCCAAAGTTCTTACATAGGTGAATATTTATGGTAGTTCCAGAAATTTAATGCATCAATTCATAGGCAAATATCAAACAGAGGGATCTAATTTGAGACGGTGATGAAATGTTCCTAGTTTAGTTACAGACATAACTCTAGTAGTCTACTTTTTACATACTGTAGGTTTAACAGTATTTTTTTAGATAATATTTTAAGGCATAATCATAAATTAATATTCTTCAAAGATGTCTCATTTTTTCAAAGGATCCAGCCCAACAGAGCCTGGGAGGACCTATCCATGGGACAGGCGTGGTGGGTTCGTGTCCTGTGCAGTCACATAGGAAAGGTCTCACAAGTGGTTTATGATCTCCTGTCACCATCTTTAATTCCTACTAATTTTTGAACAAAGGGTCCCACATTCGTATTTTGCACTGGGCTCAATAAATCATGTCACTAGTCTTGTCTAAGTAGCTGTGTCATCTTTGCTTTGGATCAACTTCCAGCTCATTTACATATGTGTTAGTCTACCTTGGATATTATTTAACTTCTTTGGGCCTAGTTTTCCTTTTAGTAAAGTGGAATAAACAATACTCCCTGCCTTACAGATGTAATTATCAAGTAATAGAAAGTTGTTGGCACAGTAAACCTGCGTTAAATTAAAAAAACCCAAAAACCAAGGAAGTGAAACAAACAACCTTTCTACTCTTTCTTTCCATGCAGAAATATATAATATTTTCCTGTACTTCTCACACACAAAAATATTTTCAAGGTTACAAATCCCTCCACCCATCCCTGGGGAAAAGAAGCAAATTGTGCGTGCCTCCCAGAATGAATTCTTGTAATGAGGTAATGAGGGAATGTGCTTTCTTCCTGATTCTAAATCACAAATATCAGAATGATTTATCCACAATGGCAGGCCAATAATCGACTTCAGAATATTTTCCTCTAACACATCTGCTGGCACGTGTCTAAGCCAGTCGCAAATGATTTGTTTCCATTGAGTCTCGCTCCACAGTCTACCTGGTTTTATGGTGATGTTTTCCTGGAGAGAATTCAATTTGAATTTCCCTTAATAAAATCGTGGCTGTTTTCTTAAGAATGTTAATCATTTGGAACTTCTCAAAGGACACAGGTGCCAAACATCAAGCTGACACACTGAATACTGTAGGGAACATGTGTTCTTACGGAAGGGAGGTGGGGACTCAGTGAGGGACCATAATGACCCAAGCCATCATCAGAGTTGGCTGCAGCGGGAGAAGCCACGCATTTGAACCGGAAGGGGAGGAGGAAGAACATCCTGAATTCCACAACAGAAAAATCATGATTTTCCATATTTTTCAGAAATTATCTTCACTGTCTCTCTAGCATCTCTTCTGTCCCTCCACCCATTAGATGTTGATTTTTGGAGTATAAATAATGCCTTGTTTATCTCTGCCATGAAATTCTAACTTCAACTGATCCCTTCTCTTCATTGAATTACCAGTCTCTCTCTCTCATCACCAACTCTCCTTAATAAAGGGCCCAGACATTTCTCGAGCACCTGTTTTGAGCCAGTGTCCAGTGTCAAACTGTAGTGAAGCCTTCCCTTTCTGGTCACATCTGTCCTCTAGATGCTGCTTCTACCAATGCAAAATATTTATTTTTTTATTTACCAGATATTCTCAGGACTGAAAGGTCAGACATGCAAACCCAGGAGCCTGTGAAGCAGCCATGGTCCCTAAACTTTTGGTGGGGTTCCTGGCCTAACAGATGTGGTCTCTGACCTGGAGACAGGGCTGCCAGTCTAACAGGTGCACTTCCTGATTTTTAGACCAGATTCCCACGATAATCGCCGCACAGCTGTCATGACACCATAGTAGATCACCTCTACTAGCCAAAGAAGGGTGCGATACAAAGTTGAGTCACATTGTTCCTTCCTAAAGTTCATTTTAATTTTTATCAGAATTAAAGCATCAAAAGCTCTAAACTGCCCATATTTTTAAAAAGCTGAAATTTCTTGCCCCATCAACTACAGCTCTTAGTCTCTGGCCATGTCCTGTTCTGCTACTCAGAGAAGCCTCGTTCAACTCTTGAACGTTTCTTAGGGCTTGTAAAATTATTTAAATTTATTTTAAAACTGAGCTATGATTAATATACAAAAAGGTGTACATATGTACTGTTAAATATTGATGATTTTGGAAAGCAGTATTCATCTGTGGAAGCATCAGCATGAACAAGGCCATAAGCAAACCATCACTTGTACATCTCTTCTTTCCCTCTGTGCGTAAGAATCTTTAATGTAAGATCTATTCTCTTAACAGTTGTAAGTATACACTACAGTATTGCTAACTGTGTACACTGTCTCTGCAGCAGATCTCTAGGATTTACTTACTGTGCATAACTGAAATGTTGTATGCTTTGACCACCACCTCCTCCTGTCTTCCTCCTCCCATGCCTCAGTAGCCATCATTTGACCCTGTTTTTGTGAGTTTCACTATAATATCCTCCAGGTTCATCCATGTTTTAGCAAATGGAAGAGTTTCCCTTTTTAAGAAGGTGGAATAGTATTCCATTGTATGCCTATGACATCTTTTATTTACCCATTAATTGGTTCATGAGTATTTAGGTTGTTTCCTTGTCTTTGCTATAGTGAATCATGCTGCAATGAATGCAGCATACCTCTTTTGAGATTCTGACTTCTATTATTTTGGGTATACACTCAGAAGTGGGATAGCTGGACTACATGGTAGTACTATTTTTAACTTTTCAGGATCCTCCATGTTCTTTTCCATAACAGCTATATCAATTGGCGACCCCACTAACAGTGTACAAGGGTTTCCTTTTCCCCACATTTTCACCAACACTCTTTAAAAAATAATAGTCATGCTAAGTGATGTGATATCTTATTGTAGCTTTAATTTCATTACAGTTTAGCTGGCATTTTCCTGGTTACTAGCAAAGACAAGCATTTTTTCATATACTCATTGGCCATTTATATATCTAGTTAAAGAAATACTTATTCAGATCTTTTGGTCATTTAAAAAATCAAGTTATTGGTTTTTTAAAATCTAACCTTGTATCAGATATATGATATGCATTTCACAATGCCTTTTCACTCTGCTGATTGTTTTCGTCATTGTATAAAGGTTTTTCATTTGATATTACCCCACTTATTAAATTTTGTTTTGTTTCATGTATTATTGGTGTGATAGCCACAAAATCATTGCCAAAGCCAATATCAAGAGTCTTTTACTTGTTTTCTTCTAGAAGTTTTAGAGTTACAGGGTTTACATTTAAGTCTTTCATCCATTTAGGGTTAATTTTTGTATATGGTGTAAGATAGAGATCGAGTTTCACTCTTTTCCATGTGAATATCCAGCTTTCCTAGCACCATTCATGGAAGAGACCTGGCCTTTCCCCATTGTGTATTCTTGGTCCCTTCTCAAAGATCTATTTACTGTAAATGTGTGGTCTTCTTTTTGGGCTTTCTATTCATTATCTAGGACCAGCCAGAGTCCTTGACTTTTCTTTGTTGGGAGTTTTTTGATTATTGCATCTGTTTTCTTGATCATTATTGCTGTTATCATTAAAGCTTGATTATTAAAGCTGTTCAAGCTTTAAATTTCTTCTTGGTTCAGTCTTGATGGGATCATATGTCTGTTTTTATGGAAATTCCATCCTGCTTTCATTGCTATAGTTTTGTGATATATTTCAAAATGAGAAGTGTCCTGTCTCTTGCTTTATTATTGTCAAAATTTCTTTGGCTAGTCGTGGTCTTTTGTAGTTCCATATACATTTTAGGATTCTTTTTTCTATTTCTGTAAAAAAAAGCATTGACAAAGATTGCTTCAAATTTTGTAGATTACTTTATACAATGGGACATTGTGACAATATTACTTTCCTTTTGATTTCTTTTCTGACCCAATGATTATTCAAGATTGTGTTAATTTCTATATATTTATGAATTCTCCCATTTTCCTTATGCTGTTGATACCTA